AAAAAAAATCCGGAAAAACAGTCGAAAAGCTAAAAATCTTCCTTTTCGAAATTAATTGAAGGGATGGCATAAGAGGATGACTGAAAAAGAGGTGTCGAATGAATTTTTGTTAGTTTATATTATGAGCAATCTATCTTGTTTTATCCCCTCGAAATCGCTTACTAGCCGTTCTTGCCCTCTGGACTAACCATGGTTATTGCAAAAACCATATCTATCATTTGTACGGTTCGCACAAATTGTTATTATTAATTCTGCTGAAAGTCAGACGCGATAGATTTTTCCAACGCGATATCCCCTGGAACTCAACTATCGAAGCTCAACTTCGAACTCTAGACGATGGTTTTGAAATTTTGCAAATGTTTCATTCTGAAAATCTCGATAGTGCATCTACAGGGCATATTTTTGAGCTTGAAGTTCTGTTTCGCCCGTCTGAGGATGTAGTCATAAAATTGATGGCATCGTCTGCAGGAATTTTGTGGCTAACATGATCCAAGCTAAGAATCTTCTCTGTTGAATGCACCCGAATGACAGTAGGCTAGATTTTTAGGTAAAGTTACCACCTTTCAACTTACTAACGATTCAACTTGCTCCACTACAATCTAAGCAGTTGAAGTTCCACAATTATTGTATACAACGAAACAAAGACCACGTAATGATTGCAGAAGTTGTGTCCTAAATATTTAGGCGTAGAAGTTTTAGACAGAATGGTTTCTTCGCCCGAGTATGTTGCGTACTGCAATTCAAGAGCATAAAATAGGAAAGAGCTTACCCTGGTTCAAATCAGAAACAAGATTCCCACTGAGTACCGACTGTAGTCCGAGATCTTCCATCGATTCCATGGCCATATACTCAGACGGACGCAATAGCCTTCTAATCTTGAAAGTAGTCATATAGCAATTGCGGGCGGAACTGGTGCAGTGCATTTTCTAGCATGGATGGTTCCTAATCGCGTATCGGTGTCCGCTCAGGCAACCAAGCCTTCTATCTCTCCAAGATCGCTTTACTGGTACCAGACTCGTCTGAGACGATACAAACGCTGACTTGTATTTCGGTTAGACACCGCAAGCCATTGGTATAGGCCATATACGCATTCAATACGCCTCTGCGATTCTGAATGAGAGTCGAGTACGGGGCGTATCTCTCTCATTCATTTACGCAAGAAGACTTTATCCTTTTTCCTCATGTCATTGGTCAGACTTTATCAAAATTTCTATTGCCAGCTACCAGTACCCAAAGATCTGTGTCCAGTTGGGCATTCAAACTGGAAATTTTCAATTTAAAATAGGGTTTTAGCAAAAAAGGGAGGAAGCAGATCACCCTTTTCGTGCAATTATATTTCCTTACAGTGCTTAGTGTAAAAGGCAGGGGAATAAAAGGTTGGTAGTAGTCATTTTGTCAATAAAGTCATTTTGTTCGTAGTTGTCCGCAGATTTTTTGATAGGTGAAAAAAAAGATGGATGCGTCGTAAATAATAATTGAAAATATAAAAAAAGTCCCAATGAAGATTATATTAGTTGAATTTCTTCCAGAGATATAAGAAAGGTTCTTTTCAGGTTACATGTTTAAGAAGGATCATGAGAAACGGTATACGTAATTTGAAGCCTTCCGATACTGAACAGCAACTGTGGCAAGCGCAGGATTGTAACCATAAGCCGTCCAATCTTTACTGTAAGCATTCAGTGTAGATCAACTGCATACGATTCCTTCGATAGCACCAAGATGACTTCATCCAACATTATAGATCCTTTGAAGAGATTCCCTAAACTTCGGCAGCCATTTCAAAAAGTTCTTTGGAAAAGAATTTCCCGACGATTCAATCATTTTTTCTTGGTCTACACATTTCATCTGTTCAGGTATACCTTATCAATACAGCTCTTCGCTATTGTCTCTCTGATTTTTTCCAGTACTTGTAGAGAAACTATTCGAGTTTGTGAGAAAAACGGCGACCTACAGTTTTGCTTAAATCGTCCTAAAAAGCAACCTAAACAACGTAAAAAGCGAGGTAAAAGAAAGGTCTGTTCATTTGTCGAATATTTTTGTTAATAGAACAGAGGCACCAAATTCTGCTATTTCACTTGGATTGATTCTTAGGCTACTGTATTCGCTGTTTCCATAAGGTCAAATTAAATTAAGAGGTGTTCCTTGTTGGTGAAGCAGCTAATCAAAGTGCAGTCCCTCTTGGTCTCCTTAAAAAATCCGAGTATGTACTTATGGCAGTCCCGTCCAATTAACTCTTTTTTGAATTGGGTGCAAGTTCTCCCTGTTCTGGTATGGCAGTCGAAGTTCAGCTATAGTCAACTAGTTCAGCTTTCGAACTGGAGTGGTGTTGTGCAGAGTTGTGCATTATCACACGCATGGGCTGGGCGTGAAAACACGGATTGGTACCCACCCAGACCAACCAAGTCTTACATCCCTATGGTACGGTTGATTGGTAATAGACTCGGTAATAGATGGAAGGCGAATGAGGGGCGCATCCCTCAGCAGCAAAGTCTAAATACTCTGTACTTGATCCTTTCTTGATTATGAATTGTTTTGCAGTGACAAGTGCTTATTCTAGAAGCCTAGTATGGCTGACTCATCTGAAACACCTGTGCTAGAAGCGGATTCTGGGCCTCCAACAGCAGTTATGTCATCGGTAAGTTGATGGAAAAAACAAACCTACTGTTTGTATCCGATTTTATTCGGATACCAACAGTTTTAGATCAGCTCTTTCGCTTTTAACGCCTTCTATTCCCTCGCAAAATGGCCAGTATATTAGTCATTCATCCGTCAATTATATTTCAGGCTGCACCTGGAGAAGATGATTGGGAATCAAAATTCTACGAGCGAGTAAGAATGGATCCCAATGTACCCTCCTATTTCAAAACGACATTTGGGTCTGTTTGCTTCGATTAATGAAGAGTAGCTGCTCTTTGGATGGCATTTCTTCCAGGATCTTAGTCGCTAACAATCGTGATCTTCGGGATGAAAAAGCATTTCTCCAAAGCCATCTCTGTCGCTCCTAATAGTGAAACTGCTGAGTTGGAGACATAAAGAAGTCGGCTCAATTTCAAGTTTTGTTGTTTGTACAGTTTGTTGACGTGTTTTTTTTTCCAAAACTTTGGATTCGTTCGGGTATCTTCCCTTTCGTAGAGTTGTTTTATATTTTTGAACAGTTAAATTCGAAAAGATTCATTCCACACATAACTCGAGGGAATCGTACGTTGAGAATCCTTCCCGCTAGTTTCAATAGTAGAACACATTTCTGGCTCTTTGAATAGTGTTTTGTTGAATAGATATTGAACTTTAATTCCATGTACTAAACTACAATATACTATATTATACAATAGGGTTGTTCAAAGTTTACTATATCAATTGTGAACACCTTGGCAATACTATTTTTTGTTCACCTTTCCCCACCGTCTTTCCTACTCATTTTTTTGCAGAGTAAATATTGTACATAGAATGCACTTCATCATTTTCTGGTGCTGACCGCGGCTCGTACAGTTAACTATAGTTTTCTTTCTGTATGCTGTATATTCCATTATTTTTCTCTTTGAATAGATGGAAATTCTAACTTCGCTAACACACTACCTTCTTTTGTAGATAAGCTTGAACATATTCAGTTTATACTCCTTGAAATCCGAAGGTGCTCGGTTTCCTGTGAAAAAAAAATTCCCTAGGCAACATCTGTTGTTTATCTGCAGGGCTTGCTTTTGGAACTGCGGAGGGTGTATGGGAGTTTAATTCGATCAGTGCTATTGGTAATGATTTTGAGAGTCAAACCCCACTCACATTCACCTCCTGAAGAAAGAATTTTCCAAGAACTGAACGGCTTTTCTATGCGGAACTGGACGAGATTGAGGCTGGCTCGATGGATATCAGTTCTACAACATAGGTAAGTTTTTCAAATTTTCCACCAGTGAATGTCAACTATTCTCGGTACTTACCAATAAGCATCGATCGTGACCTTGTGTAACTTGTGTGCTAGGCAGCCTCGATGGATGAAATGGGCAGTTACCTAGTTACGATGGAGGGCTTCTCCTGACCTCTATCTGAAACTTTTGTGTCAACTCTCTAGTACATTTGAGTCTGCCCTTTTAAGTTTGATTTTGACCAAGAAGTTCCAATGTCAGGAAAATACGTATGTGTCATTTACTAACGTTGGGGCTTACAGCTAGTTGGTCCTGAAGACGTACTTTTTGTATAGTATTCTGATTTCTAAACATGAAGTGTCTTCTGGAGAAAAAGACGGTAGTTAGGCTGAAAATGAGAACTTTACAACTGTAAACTGTGATAGTACGATTGCTTTCCCCATCTCATGTAACACAATGCAATCAGCAATTCCAAACCAACTTTTTTTGGGTTCGACTGATTGGCATCCCAGGTTCATCAAAGGGGTCGAAGCAAATTACATGGCGCATACTAAAGAGTCAGTCTAACTTAATCTCGCTTAGCACCTATGCCTCATGTCGGTAACCTCACCTTTCACTCTTATTCTTCTCGAGTCGAGCGATCTTTATAATCCAGTCCGAATGAAAAGTTGAATCCATAGGATAAGATAACTGTTATTATGATGCACGGAAGGGTTTGATCAATTTGTACGATTCTCCCGTCAATTGCGGTTTAGTACTCGGTGAGTTCCGCGCTCAAAACATGGCATCGGGGTAACATAGGGAGTAGACAATTGGGTGATGGTGCTCTTCTACACTTTCATTTTATCACTGATTACGTCTAGTCTCGTCATCCTTAGCTGTAGCACCGAATCTGCGACATAGAGCAAGCATCCTGTGAATTTTCCAGTTTTTCAAAATCCTCGTTGAAATTCTCACAAGTACTCTCTGTCTTCGAGCACGCTTTGATGTGATATGGTAATTCTGCATATTTGTGCAAGCTATTTATTCAGGCTTAGAATGGTGATATGAAGAAAAAGAAGAAACCCAAAAAACATTTGAAATCTCCTGACAGAAGACCGAACCCCGTGGCGAAGGGTACTCATCTGACGAAGGGATCTGCTGCTGAATCTGTTCCAGTTGCCAAAAACACAAGCACGATGAACGCTATACAGAAAGCTTGCCAGTCAACTTTTGTGCAAGTTGCTGTGCAGGTGACTCCCTTAAGTAAAAACCGCTTACAAAGAATCTACAAATGCCTGCCACTATTTCAGGGAGTAAGCAAAGTTCCTCACATAGAGAGAGTTGCAAGCAAAATGCTAATGCCTGCGGCAATCGCTATTGATTCGGTCCGATTGGGAATGTCCATTCAACAGGATATCGATCAAGACAATAAAATTCCAAAAAACACTGTCAAGAGCGCATCGTCGATTGCTGGCGGATGGGGTGCTGGATATGGAGGTGAGTTGTGTGTTTATCTAAAATAGACAAGCGGTCCTAGTGTCATGAGAGGTCCCTTCAGAGAATAGGACTGATTTTGGGCACCATGAAACCCTCTCTGTTATGAAAAGCTGCACTGCGCTACCTTACGTCTGGTAACTCGTTTATGGGAGAGATGGGTCCGGTGCAGAGATATTGATCCTTGAGGTATATATGTATATTGGTCGGCAAAAGCTAGTATACGACGTCCGGAAATCCGGGAATTCAGCAGGCGTGCCACTAGTAAATTCCGTGCTTCTGACAATGATAATAGCTGAAATGAATTTCCTCGAATTTGGGGTTTGCCACGCATTCGATTTCCATCTGGAATCAGTGGTATTCAATTCGAGTTTGGCCTACGACACTATTACCTTTGGGGCAAATCACTGCTTTTGCCTTATTAGGCAAGCCTACGATTTCGCTTTGCCTTTTTATGTGGCAGAGGAAAACCCATCAAGATGAATTCTTTGTAGGAGCTGTTGGAGGAGCAACTGCTGGTACCGCCATTTTCCCTGGTGTAGGAACAGTTATCGGAGGGGTTGTGGGTGGCGTCGTTGGCGCTGTTGGTGGTTCTATTGCTGGAGAGAAGATAGCGGAGAAAGTTATGAACCAAATTGACCAGGGTGGGGAACCTAATGAAGAAGAGCAAATCACGGCGAAGAAAATTTCCGGTATTG